CTTTTTGTTTGTTCACTTAGTTCACTATTAGACAAGGTTGTTTTTTTATATCATACTTCAACGTTACATTATGTATGTTCACAATCCAGATGGTTAGGAAACTTTATTTAGTGTATAGGATATGAATTAAATTCATATTTATATTACATGAATAGATTGATTTCAGTCAAATACTATTTGTCACTTTATGTTTGATTGTGATAAACTGATGATTTAATAGTGAATTATGCCTTATATATATATATATATATATACAAAGATACGGGTTCATATATAAAAATGAAAGTTATAAAGGGGTGGTTGTATAAATTACCATTATATTTCTTTTCATTACTCGTTTGTCACTGACATATTTGTCTGTATTTATTTTCATCTAAAAGGTGTATGAAAAATGTTTTCCTCCACTTTAGATACTATTTTCCCTAACCAAAACTAATACCTGTATTTACTAAATATATTTTACTGAATCTTCATTGGATAATTTATTCAGGGTGTATGAAGTTTTTATTAGACGACCAAAGTACAATTCCGTTATCATTGATTTTACAACCAATTATGCACAGGGAACTTTGAACAGCCTTAGTTCTGTACTCAAAAGTTCACCATATATATTCTGTAACGAGGAACTTACATGTTAGTTATTTAGTTGAGACAAAAGAAATTTTGTCATTAATTTAACTCTGTCATCAATCATCACCTACACAAACCATTTAAGTGATTAATAAAAAAGGAGCTCATACAACTACTAATTAGTTCGCTCAAGTTAACTGCCAGTTATGTATCTTATAACGAAATGTGTTTTAATGATATTTCACAGTAACTATAATCCAATAGAATGCATGAAACAAAGAAATAACGAATGAAGAAATGTAGAGCTATGCATAAATGTTAAATATTTTCTAGAAATATATGAAGTCAACTGGCAGGTTTGCATCGAAAATGGATTGAGTTAGATGAGATACAATTTTAAAATGAAACGTTCGTTGTAAAATACAAAGGTTTGGAACACTAAAAGCTTTTTTAAAATTTATTCACGGTTATTTAATGAACAAGGGCGAATCATTTTTACTGTCGTCAGTAGGGGGTTGTGGGGATAATTGAGTGTTGGTGAAATCACGAACTGATCCATGTTAGTTAGATAGCCAGTGATAATATGGAGAAGCCGGACGACCGTTTTGTCCTAGTATGGGACTCCTCATCAGTGCGCATCCACTACCCTACACACACGAATCGAACCCAAGACCTTCGGTCTCATGCACGAACGCTTAACATTCAGACTACTGATAGATGAATGTAATGTATCACTGACTACTCCTTGAGTTTCATTTTCACCCTTAATTTATGCGTTTTTATTCCATAAATAACTTATATTCACATTATCTCGGTTGACTATTAACCTTACCTTTTGAAATCTATTTCTGACAGAATATACTCCGTGTTCCCACAAGAACTCCTTAAACATATTGCTAATACAACGGATTTTATACACAACTAATACTGATGTGACGAATACTATCATAATGCAATAGCTTATTGTTGCTTGAAAAGTTGACCGACAAATTCAATACATTCAGTCATTTAGTAGAGCTCAAATAAGGAGATATGTGCATAAAGATAATGTAATTGGGAAATGTTTTTTCTAAATTATACAGTATATTAGCGTAATACAGTTCGAACAGTCTGACCATACAATAACTTATCAAGATGTCCAGGTATATGAAAAATATCTGTCAAACTAGACAAATTGGAACACAAGGTCAGATTCACATTCCACTTTTCCATTATGGAATTTTTATGATCGTACTGACAGTCTAAACTAAAACAACACTCTGTTTCCTCTGAATACTCCCTGATAATCAACCTCTAGAAGTGCATGTGAAAAAGTACGTAATAATTAAACAAGATTTATTTCTAATAATCAAATGATGGAACCAGGTAAATTATTTATATTGCCATAATTGATAGTTAGACTTCTGTATACTTTAACTGATGAGTTAAACTTATATTTCGAAAATACATCAGAAATTATCATTGTGCACTAATATCAATCTGTTTTATTTTTCCCATATTTGACCAGTTTCATTGACAGTTTTTCTTTGATTGATGGGATCAGTACACATAGTTTACCCGGTACATAACATCCACTTTATTTCAACATGTATATATTCCCACCTTGTTGCCATAGAAACATAAAATGACACATGGTAGTTGATACAGTTCGCATGCCTTCTTTCTAAGAACTTAAATGCACTAGGAACTGCTAAAGTTTGAGTGGAATTTTTGTTTTTTGTAAAGTATTGAACAAATAGTGTTCATTTAAACAAAGAAACACAAAACATTGGATATTGTATTAGCATAAACATGTGTGTAAAATCACTGTGCATTTAAAGAAGTAAGCAGAAACGAAGCAAATATTTGTAGGAAAATTCCTTTCAGTCATATTTAGTTTCTTTTTTGGATTGTTATCAAACTTCATAAAAATATAGACAACTTCACTGAAGATAGGGTGAAATATATGTTGTAATGATTTGGATCGTAAACACTAGTATACGATGGGATAGATTCGTTGAAAATGTTGTGAAGAGATTGCTTTAATTTTTCAGTTACTTTCAACATAGATTGGTTTCAGCTGAGTAAGCATAACAAGTGAGAAGGAAATGAATAGCTATTTTCTTCTAGTACGAGACTGCTCAACAGTGAGTCCCCACTACCACACAAGGAATCAAAATCACGATGTTCAGTTCTCATGGTTAGCGCCTTACTGTGGGAACCACTGGGTCGATGTCCAATGGGTTAATTTCAACTCCAGTCGGTTTATGAGGAGGTCGGTCGTGGCCCGTATAACCCAGTGGTAACGTCTCTGACTGTGAAGCTGGGTGACACGGGATCCAATCCGTCAGGAAGCACCAGTTCTCTCAACATTACAGGTACACCTTGCTGACGAGTGCCAAGTAGCACGAAATCTGGGTCGAGGGTCTCCTGTCGACCACCTCCAACCATAATCTAATCTCAACATAGTGCACACAATGTCGAGTCACCTAGACTGATGGATACATTGCAATGTGGTCGATAGCATTCGATCTGCACTAACAAAGACTTAACACACATGACATTGATCACCACCCAGTGATCAGTCAACTGTGAGTCATTGAATGCCATTGGCGACACCTTTTTCTTCCTTGACATTTAAAGATACATTCTAACTTGTGGATACAACTACTTAAACTTTCATGCTCGAATGGAACAGCAGTGCACACCCATTACCTCACCGTGGATAATTGTTAAGTTATACCATAAACTGACTGCAGTTGGAGTGAGACCCCAATCTAGTGATTTTATAGTTTGGCGTTCACTGCAAGGACTGAAGATACTGGATTCAATCCCACGTGAACGATAGGTTCGGGTTGCTATGGATTCCCATATTAGGACAAAAAAGCTGTCTAGTACCTACTGGTTTTCAATGATAGTTCCGTGATGCGAATTCTAATAAGAAAGGTGGATTATATTGTAAACGTTCGTAAAAGTTACTTATGTCGGCTTTTCACATTGATTTAGTGAGAAACGAAAATGAATGAAGGGAAACAACCTTAATTCCCGGACATACGTCACATTTGTTGACAATCAATACCAAGATATATATACAACTTTCCAAAATATTCAGTATTTTATAATATCGTAATCAAGGCCATTGTACTATATATTCAACAATAAGCGATGCTTTTAATATATCTAGTAATGGTATAAAGGCATTCAACTTTAAATGTTGAAGGAGATATGTATTACTATACAGCTGAAAGCATACCATGTAGTGGATTTAAAGCGAATATAAGTGCTAAGTCCTACAGTTTGCTTTAAGACACTTGCTATTATAAATACATTAGTTTAACATTTGTGTTAGTACTTGTGAGACGTTTAGATGTGATATTTAATTGAATTAATTGTTAATGACAATGTTGGATAGGAAGAAAAATTTTTATATCTGATAAGTTTTTTTTTAACAGTGATTTGTTTAAGTTTTCAGCCATCAGATTCTTAATATGATAATAATAAGTTGAGTTTTCTCGAAATATTCAATAATAAGATGGTATTAGGCTAGAGGTGGAATGGACGAAGCCTGTTTCATCCCATTTCCGGTTTATCAACTTGATTCATATACATCTCAGTGTTAATACTCACACTGAGACTCAAACCCAGTATTTTTTACTCTAAACTCCCATTACATTAAATCTTTATCTCATGAGATCAGATAGCCATTGACATAATCAGCGCGTATGAAGGTATTGATAGGGATTTGTAATTTCCCATTTTTATTAATCAGAATTATAATTTATCAATATCTGTTATTGTAAACCCCTAGCGATGCAGAAAAAATGGATATTTTTTAGCATAGATGGTTTGCAGGGATAAATTAATTTGCTTCACTGTGGTTTTCAATGATTATTTAGTTAGGATAACCATTTCTTCATTCAAAATCTCATCCATCCGACTATATAGTAATTACAGTATGATTAAGAAAAATCATTCAAACTTGGTACTTTTAAGAATAGCCAAAAATCCTAAGACGTTGAGAAAAGTATAGATCAGTCAGTATTTTGACATCTTATATTAAGTAATTACCGTCGTATTATAGTTTGTCATTTAAAAGTACATAAAATTCTTTCATCATCTTCATGAAATTTAAATTTAAAGTCAGTAAAACTGAACATAATTCATAATATTTCACTGGTTGAAATCATGAGTCAATTGAAGCTAGACCGCCATGGAAAACCTGGAAGCACTGGACGGCCGTCTCGTTCTAGTATGGGACTCCTCAGCAGTGCGCACCCACGATCACGCCCCTGTGAGACTCGGACCCAGGACCTACCAATCTCGCGCCAGACGCTTAACCAACTAGACCACTGAGCCGGCCTCCAACGGTGTTTAGGTCTAACTTCAACCAATAATTCATTATACATAAATTCTTTCGTGATTATTTTCTATTCTCTTCTTGTTTTATATAGGAGAAATCATCAGTCAATTTATTTGTCCAGTATGTCAAAATGAAATCAAACCTGATGATTTAGAAAGCCATTTCAAATTTGAATTGGAAAAAATGCAAAATTTCACGATCAAGTTAGTTTTTAGTGTTATATTGTTTTTTTTTTAAAATTTTTAATAGTATTTAAACAAACATATACTTGTTAGTATGATTGATACCTAGCTATTCGAGATTTTTCATATGGATGTACTTGTATCCTTGTGTTGATATTATTACTAAAACTGGAAGTAAAATGAAATGCACATTCTGGGTTGTACTGTTAGCTACATTAATAAATATATCAAAACTTGTGACGTAACATTTTATCAAGACAATCCTCTTACGATATGCATTGCGTAATAGAGACTGATGAACTATAGACCTGGATATCAGCAACGAAAAATTATGAACACTTTCCGAAATAATCATATATTTATTTATTTATTTGAACACATAATTATTGGTACAAGGGGGAACCAGATATTTATGCGCCACACAAAACAATGAGAATGGGGAGAAAAAAATGAAGAGGAACAATAAGGACCAGCTTAGTGTAAGGAAGTGTAATAATAATAATAATAATAATAATAATAATAATAATAATAATAATAATAATAATAATAATAATGGGGGATACGGAAAGGTACAACCAAAAAGAATTCTTTCAGTTAAGGAAGATACAACCATTTTTTTATGAAGAAAGTAAAAGAAATTTACAGCAGGATCGCCACTGGCTTCTATTCTGAGCCATATCTGATAACGTCTCTAGCCATTGTGTTGCACCATCTCTCTGACCCCAACCAGGGAGTCGTGAAGGACCGACACAAGCCAGTCCTTCGCAGCCTTCTTTCATGCCACGACACCATGTCATGCACTGACCACCTCTCCACTTCTTCCAACCAGTCCCAGAGTCGGCAAATAATGCACGACGTGGAATTCTCTGGGACGACATTCGGAGAACATGTCCAAGCCACCGAAGTCGGTGTTTCAACATGGTGACACCAATTGAATTATCGTCTCTGCGCCCAAATACATGATGCCGAACCTCTGCATTACTGACATGGTGTTGCCACTGGATGTCAGCAATCCTTCGGAGACATCGATGATCAAACACAGAGAGTCGTGTAACACCCTCAACTCGGAGAGGCTAGGTTTCACAAGCATAGAGCAAAACTGCTCTCACCGACGCGTTTTAGGTCCGACCTTTTACAGCCAGACTAACATCACGAAGGCGCCAAAGATGGCGCAGATTGGCCTAAGCCGCTCCAGCTTTCACCATACGTGCATTGATCTCATCACTCACACCCCCACCAGCACTTATGCAGCTACCTAGATACACGGACTTCTCGACTACTTCTATCTGCTCACCATCCAGGGTGAGTACAGGATTAGAATCCTGCCAGTCTTGTAGAAGTACTTTTCACTTCAAACGTGCGAAGCACATACCGTACCTACGGACATTGATTGACCACTGATTAAGTGCGGATTGCATGACTTGGACATTATCACAGAGTAAGACAATCTCATCCGCATACTCAAGATCGAGAAGTCTTTCTCCAGGCAACCGATCCACACTGCCATTAATTACAACCATCAGAGCTGTTTCCAGAATGTCATCGATGGCAAAGTTGAAGAGGAGTGGTGAGATTGGGCAACCCTGTCTAACCCCACTGCTCGAATGGAACAATGAAGAGAGGTAGTTGTACGCCGTCACTCTGTCTGAGTTGTTTGTATATAGGGCCTTTAAGATGTTAATTAACTTCTCAGGAACACCCTTCTTCAATAGACAGTCCCTCAGAACAGTCCTGTCCAACGAATCGAAGGCAGCCCTGATGTCAAGAAAAACTACGATTGTTGGACTGTGATAAGTATGACGGTGTTCTAACATTTGGCGGAGGGTGAAGATATGATCAATACATCCTCAACCAGAACGAAACCCAGCCTGCTCCTCGAGAGTCAATCTTTCTCGAGTTTTGAACAACCTACGAAGTATGACGGAAGCCAATAGCTTGGACGCGATCGGAAGTTGACTTATCCCCTGATATTTGTTACAGAAACGACGTGAACCCTTTTTAAAGATAGGGACAACTATCGACTCATTCTATGACGTTGGTACACTCTCTAGCTCCCAAACCTTTGTAAACAACGTTGTCAGTTATTTAACCAGGAAGTCACCACCATCTTTAAAAAGAGCCGGAGGTAAGTCATCTGGGCCAGGTGATTTGTAGCGCTTCAAGAGTTGGAGTTCCTTGCGGACTTCCGCCTCATTTGGTGGATCAGTCGTCACCGGTCATGGAGGGCAGGACAGTCTGACCGATGTTGCCGAAGCAGCAGGCCAGTTGAACTGTCCCTCGAAGAATTCTGCCAATCGTCCAAGACGTCGATGGATGTCAGTGATTGGCATCCCGTCATCCTCGCAGATTGTTTCACTCACACCAGACTTCTTGCTGCCAGTGGCTCGGATGAGCTGGAAGAGCTTCCGGTAGTTACCAGATGCAGCTGCTGCTTCCAGCTCATTAGCAAGCATCGACCACCAGGCTTCTCGGTCCTTACGCAAGCTTTGCCCAATTTTATGACGTAACATCCTTCGTTTGTGGTCAAAATCACGGTCACCCGGAGTAGACCGACGGGCTTCAATGAGTTGTAAGGAACCAGAAGAAACCCAGTGCTTATAAGCGGGACGTTTTGCGAACCCACAACTGACTGTACCCGCCATTTTCATGGCGTCGTGAAATTGCTACCAACTTGCTGACATTAATCCTCTGGTGGCGGTCACTTCGTTGGCCACTGAGAAGTAAGGTAAGATTGGCGCAAACAAGGGCACGATCAAAGCCCAGATAGGTACTCCAAAAGCAGTGGCAGTCTTGTACACAACCACGCCAGCGGTAGCTGATCGCGATGTGATCAATCTGAGTCCAGGCTTGAGATGCAGAGGGAGGACTCCAGGTGGCACATCGGCGATGACTGTGCCGAAAGTTAGTGCTAGCCAGAAACGGGTTGTGTTATGTACACAGTTGCAGTAGACGGTCCCCGTTATCTGTCCTGCGACTAATACGTCTCAATCGGCCACCTAAACGACTCTCTTCTGTGCCTAGACGCCCGACCTGAGCATTCAAGTTTCCAGCTAGTACTACAATATCTGTCGGACGCACTATCTGGAGAAGAACAGTTAACTGGTTATAGAATTCATCCTTGATTGTTTCTTAGCATAAGCGGAGATGACGAAAAGACATCGTTTCTCATACCGATTTCTCACTTTTATGGAACTTTCTAATCTAACAGCACATAACCGACTGTCAATAGGGATCCAATCGATTAGTGCTGCCTCAGCTCTAGCGCTTAGTGCGACACCAACGCCAGCAGGACCAGACGAAGGTGCCACAGGGTCCCCGGATAAACGCACTTAAAACAAGCCTTTTGAAGCAACATATGGAGAGCGAATTTGTGGTACTTCACCATGGTCTTGAATGCGGGTCTCGGATAGACATCAGACGTCGATATTAAGACTTTCCAAAGACATAGTCAGTCCTATCTGTTGTCCGACCTGCATAAGTGTGCGAACGTTGAAGGAAGCCAGTTTGAATGGTGCACGTTGTTTCAGAAAAACTTTCAGTATTCGTATTTGGTGGTGCCATTCAATTTTCAACCAGTCAGTGACTGGACAGAACAGCGTGCTGCTGTATAAGTTGAAAAATAAGGATACACAAAGTGGGAATAAAAGAGAGTGTATGAGTGACATAGTACATGAAAAAATAAAAATGAATGTTATCAAATGGATACGAGTTTTCTGAGTTTTATTTCGAAGTAGGATAGTATTTCTAGTAAATATTGTCATTTCGTTTTATTTGTGTGTGGACTGTAATACTGCCAGGTGCTCAAACCGAAGCAGGTGGTTTATTAGGGGGCCATACCCCGAGCCTTTAACCTAAAGGTCTAACCCACAAGGCAGTGGAGCGTCGTGAGGAGATGCGGTCCCATGGTAGCCGGTGACCAACAATAGGTTCATATGCCATTTGTTCCCTCAGGATACTGGAGCCAATGTGCACCATTGGTTTGGAATCTGGTTAAAGCGTCGGACATTTGCTTTTCGCCCTCTCATTTTCGTAAACAACACCCCTGGTACGAGAAGGCAGTGAGTAGGACTTCCCTGGCAGAGGCTGTATGAGCGTGGCCGTGTGAGAGCATTTCGAGAGGGAGGGCGGGCTCACCCCACTTTCGGCTACACCAGGGCATTTGAGGGCATATGCAATTAGTTTATAAAATTGTAATTCCAGTATATCATCACTACAGGAAAGACTTTTTCAGAATATAAACCTATTAGAAGACGAAACAATTAGCAATTGAACAATATGTAAAGTTATTATTATTCCACAAATCCGTACGACATCATGTCAGTCTAGTCCCTCATGTTAGATGCTCGAATATTGTACTACAAATTGTAAAGTTGTCGGTGTACACATCAAACATTCCACAATCTTCTTCCATTGATTACCAAAACTTCCCAAATAAGTTCCTTAAAATGTTCTTTAATAATATGATGCTACAATCAAAAGTGAACGGTATAAATGTCAAAAACGTTATAAATTATATTAGAGAAATAGAAAAAATCAATATCAGTATCGTATAAGTATGTTTAAGCCGACTTCCTGGTCAAAAACATATGAATAATATACAGGACAATATCTAATAAATTAATTCATAATCTTCAGCTGAAACTATGTAAAGAACAAAAGAAAAGCCTTTATTTTTAACTTAAAAATGGTTGTTATTTATAACAATAAATGAAGGAGATCATGGACAATAATTCAAACTACAATGATCTATGACCAATTACTTCACATCCCTTGTTTACTTCTAGTTTACTGGAAGAACACAGGTTTGTCGTTTGACTGAAGTTAATAGTTACTGTGTTCAATTCTTCATTTCATTCATTAATATGAAGCTTAATATAGAACTTGAAATAGATTTAGCCGCTAAATATTATGAATCCCTAAACAGATAGTCATAAAACCTATGGAATAACTAGTGATACTAATTGGTGATAAAGTGTTTAGCGTTAAAAAATCAATTATTTGAAAGTGTTCCCTGAAAATATTATCGAGATTATTTATGAAATCTTTAAAATCAATTAAAATAATACGTTACTCTGAAGAAAACAATCATTTACTTAAACTTGTAAATTGTAACTGGGACAATATTTGCTAGCCTAGAAACTTAAATTTGATAACATTAAAATTTATTGAAAATAAACTTTACTTCAATTTGGTTCTAGTTGATTTTCATCGAACAAGGTAGAATATCTAGTCATCAGAATAATTGATTCTAATTCGTTAAAAAATTTACTTTTGACTATACAGTACCTAGGTCATAATATCTAATATATTACAGTTGAATTATACAAATTCACTTGTTTATTTGAGTATTTCCATTTCAAGTTAAAAAAAGGATTGAATAGAATTCCATGGAAATACTTTTTGAATGAATCTTAAACAGGATGAAATATAAAATGCATACAGTTCCATAGATTCCATTCATTCACTTAATTTCTTACTTTTAAAGTTTATACTTCCCAAACTTTCTTATGTTTTTCTTTTCAGTTTACCGATAGAACAAATATCTTCAGATAAATTAGAGGTATATATATATGTAGTTTTTGGTAATTTATTCATTTAATCAATTTAGTCACCTAAATATTCTCAGTCTAAAATTGATAAAATAAACAGTGATTCAAGATTTGAAATATTTAAGAAAGTTGAAAGAAATAGAAAAGAAAGGAAAGGTATGTTTGTTTCATTAAAAAAAGGCATAAACTGATGCTTAATAATCGTTTCAGAGAAATATTTCAAGCATCCTTTTTTATTAAATCCATATACAGTGCAAAATGAAATGTCAAGTATGTTAAAAAGTTCTTTAAATTGTTCATGTGATTTATACTACTGATAAGTAGCTAAACAATTTTTGATAATATATTATGGCTTGAAGTAAATTTTTGACAGAGGAGATAGTGATTTCAGTTAAAACTAATATCTCAGTAGGTACTTGATACATCCAAGATTATTCTACGTAGATTTTCAATCACCTTTCTGTTTGTGTAGTGAAGTTTATCAGTCACAGAGGAAGGGGATTGAGAAAGGTTATTTCACTTGAGTTTAAATTTACTAAGATACAATACTAATTAGTAACGGAATCATTAATATTACAGCAAATATGATTACGTTTATAAATTTCATCGACATTCTCATTATAACCACCAGTTATCTATAAAATAATCTTTCATCATCATAACATATATATATATATATATAATGGCAGTAAATAGGTGTACATAGGGTTATTCAGTGGGGAAGTCCATATTTTGTAACGAGGATAATATCAATGATTAAGAAGAGAAAGGAAGTTAACCATAAAATGAATAAACAGTGAACAACCAAATTTAAAAATACCACCCAAGTAAATTGGCGTTAAATCAGGAGAAATTGGTAAACTTAAGGAATAATAAATACTAAACAAGATTAACCGATAGAATTCGGAATAATAACATATTTACTTACAGTGTGTATCAGAAATGATTTAGGGTTAAAATGATGGGATTAAATTCTTGTATACTTCTCATCATTTGATTCGGTGGCAAGATCTAGGCTACAATAATGTTTTGGTCATGTGGGAGAGATGACAATATAAGCTGAAACACTCAGTATGAAATCTAATAAATAATTGTGAACGTTTTCATGAAGTCAAGTTAGTGCAAAGAAATATGTATGGAATACAAACGTTCTTGACGACGTTTATCTACATACTGACAATAGTTTCTTAACTTGTTCAACCGAAAAAAAATTATTAACAGCGAAAATTCTTTAGTTGAAGGTAAGTCAAATTCAATGACGCAATGAAAAGCTAACAAACGTTTCTAGGATGGAAATACCATTAAATAAAAAGTTTTTGATGTTTTCTCAGAAATTGATGGCGTGTAATCTGTAAAATATATTGTATTTCGTAATGCTAATAATGTACTTAACATACACTTCTGGTTTGTATTTTTAGGTGATAATAGCTTACCAAGTTTGAGGACAGTTATTGACCAGTTGTTTTGCAACAATTTTATTAATTCATGTATCCCCTACTAAATCTCATCGAAAGATTATTTCTGAAGTGTTATGGAGATTAGTCGTTGAGCTAACTAGGACTCATAGGTTTCGTTCATAATTAGGAGACATTATTCTTCGTTCACAATTTAGAATAATGGTGATCTATCTCATTATATTACAATACGTATCCTGAACACAGTTAATGGGTGTAAATAAACTCTAGCTATTCGTAAACAGGAAAGCAGTTATTTTTGATTTTTTAAAAATAGAAATGTATACTAATAAGATATATCCAAACATCTTCGATAAGAAATATGATCGATTATGTAACTATCTAATCTAGTAATATATAAGGCCTTTTAATGTTCAATTAATATTATCAAAGGCATTCTTCTTTCTTAAAATCTAGATTCATAGTGTTTATAGTTCAAAGGAGGTTTTATGCGTCTGGAGTATTTTAGTTCAGTTGTCAATTCTGTTTTCACGTGTACCTTTGTCAATCAAAAGATAAACTGCTTAGCTAAATTTTTAGGATTATCAGTTCATTATATATTATCTATAAATCAGAATAACTACCACAAACTAACTATTGCGCAAGATCATAGATCGATTAAAGTTAGACATTAACATCGTTGGATGCCGGTTCAGTTGTCTAAAGGTTAAGCGTCCACTCGTGAGACCGAAGTTCTTGGGTTCGAGTCCAGCGTACGGAATCGTGGATGTGCACTGCTGAGGAGTTCAATACGAGACGGCCGTCTAGTGTCTCCAGGCTTTCAGTGGTGATCTAGCTTAGGTCGACTCATGCATTCAGTTGTGAAAATACTACAATCACCACTCATCCCCATACTGATAACCATTAGTAACCAAAGATAAGACTAGTTAATGAAATACATAATATCACCAAGCAAAGATATTTTCATAAATAGATTTAAAATGATATCACTTATGATCCCCTTACATTTACTGGTGAAGTAAAACAAACATCTTTCCAACTGTGCTTCAAATATCATGTTACTTCTTTTTAATTTATTGATTCAGCGTATTTACAATTCCTTGGTTCAGATCACTGACATTTCATGATTTCCAGAACCACTATTTATTATGGTTTCAGTGTTGTTAATGAATAAAACTTATACTTTTACAGACTTGGTTAATTTAAGCGTAATTCCCACCTTAATTTGATATCATTTTGGTAAAAAGTGGAAGCCTTGGGATAACGAGCAATGTTTTTCAATTCTTCAATGGTTTTTTAACAAGTAAATTTCATTTGTCTATTACAATGGATGGTAGGTTGCGACTAGATCTATGCACGACATAATAGTTCATTGATTTCTACTTAGTAGCTCAACGACAAACTTCTCAAAACGTCACCGTTTGTTCCTTTTTTGTTCTGTACTAAATATTCACATGGAGTTAAACAAACTTTCAAAAACTTGATGAAGTTAGTAATTGTTTTCAATGGATGTTATACTTAATGCTTCGGTTTTTTTACCCCTTAGAATAATTACAAAGAATCCTAACAAGAGCTCTTTAGTAATGAAGATATGATTTGGTAATCAATCCTAACTTCACAACAATACATTATGAGGCTACTAACATTGTCTTCAGTGGAGTAATTTATTCAGTGAACTCTAGTTTGTAAATAAATAGCTTCTAAGTATATTTTTTACGTTTTGCTTTTAAAACGTGCTTTAGATAATTTCAGTAAAGATATTGTTTTGCGTAATGCCGTTGTGTTGCTGAAAGTCTGAACTACGATTCTAAGCTTTTGAAGAATAATGACAGTAGATCTTCAAACCGAGGTAGATTACTGAGATGATATATTTACAACGCTTATGCTATCACAGAAACTTGAACGCATATAATTTAAAGCCTGACAGTAACATAGAGGTGTTCATTGAAATAATTCTAGATTTATAAATATGCAAGTATTCTCGTGGATTTTCATTTGGGCTTTGTAAATAATTACAATTAGCTGCAAAACTTCTATCCCAGGTTCTACGTCAGTTATCTTAGATCGTTTGATATTAATAATAATATGATAACATAGATAGTCATTTAGTTAAGTAGCTACTTTACGGAATCAATCAGCTGGTTGTAAATGCATGAAGAAATGAGATTATTATTACTTCTTTTTTACAGCTGGATGGAAGTGAAACGCTTAGTTAGATTTAGTTTTTACTTTTAAGCTGTTTAATAGATGGGAATTCACGTGCTTCAACCAGGTTGTTGTTCAGATCACGGTTAACATTGCAAATATAGGACGTATCATCTTTACTATTTACAGATATAGATTTTACTGACTACTAAGGACAAAATCGCTTTAAGTGAAATCTTCTTAAATTAATCACCTGGTAGAAAGCTCCGAAGGTGCAATAAGCATATACATTATTGAAAAATACCTTAGTTCTCAATTATATTTATAAAACTAAATAACCAGATCGTGGTTGCTAAAATCAATTCAATCTGTCAAATGTAAGTGAGGACCTAATACATACGAGATTAAAGTAACCACACTACATCACAGTGAGACAAAATTACCATACTAAATTCCAGGGTCTTAGGGAAAACTAAGAGTTCATGCACTTATGCAATTGTAATCGATTTGGACCCATATCATCCAACATCCTGTTATAATAGTCAAACAGATTCCAACCAGATAGTCTTCACATTCCTATATGGTTTAGACTTTGATCACTGCCACGTTTCGATTTGACCACCCCTGTCTTTCCAAACCATTTATGCTCTAAACAACAGATGTTGATATACGGAGTGGTTGGGAATACGTAATGGATGTCTGAACCACCTGACCTATTCTAAAAGATTACATGTATCAATTTATTAACTTCCTATTTACCTCACGATTCAAACCGTTATTTTTTATGTTATAGACTTTCTAGAAAATAATAAGTTATTCCAAACAAAGTTCACTACCGAGTGGTTAGATTATACACATTTGTCACTGATGAGATAAAAATCTACGCCGTAAAGAAGTGCCTAGTATTGGCTAGTATCTGGGAGCCAACCTTCAGGTGCTAGAATAAATATTTTATGGTGAAGATTTTACTATGGTGTAACTCATTATTACTCATTTGAAAAAGTAATAGCAAAGGACACTGAATCATAAAGACAGTGTAAAGAATAGCTCAGGTGATTTAAATTCTTGAGTATTTTTCAATCCATGACTAGTGTATGAAAGGAATCTAATTGAAATTCTTCTTTTACAGTTCGAGTTAGCTATTAAAGATCGTAGTAATTAGACATTTTACATACTGAGAATCATAAAAAAACACTTGCCTCGAACATTGAGAAAAAACCTATTATCGAGCTAGGATCAGAACTCCATTCACAATGTTTGAAATAACGACAATACAACTGAATTCGATAGAATTTTATGCATCAAAAATATTCAATAGTTTACGTTATGGATTTGTAAGTAGTCGACAGTAAACCATAAGATTAGGCTTCCTATTAGTCGACACCCATCGTAAGGGTGTAACTTTAGTACTGTGAGAACTGATGCTGCCTGGTGGATTAGAGTACATATAATTTAGTTTAGTAGTCTCATATATTACTATCAAACTAATCGAACAACAACTGGATAATTTTTCACAATTGAATAAACACTAAGTAGTCCTCATATTTGTCTAGGCCTCTAGAAGTGACCAAATTCTATTGATCAGTTAATTAAGTCACCGATAAGATGAATATCTTAATATAAATAACAATCAACCATCGAGATATTTATATTGAAATAAAATGATAAATATATTATTCAATAATCACTTGATATATATATATTTCTCTAACTATCATGACAACAATTATTATTCAAAATATACAGCATGTATAATACCAACAGCAAATATTTTTGAATTTGAAAATATGGCTGATGCATAAGTATCACCCATTTCAACATTCCATACAGATTGACTACTAATAAATATACTATTACGTTCCGGTGAACCAATATGAACTTGTACAACAAATTTATACCTTGATGGAGTATTTAATTCACGTACATTTTTTCTTAACATATTTGCTAAATTCATTGATAAAATACGTGCTTGTAACGGTTCATAGATAACATCTTTCAATGTGTGATCCAATGTTGTTTGAATTAAATTTCGTAACTATTAATAGATTAGTTTAAGTAAAACAGAAATGTTATATAATAGTGAAAGAACAAAATATAATGTGTACTATCATATTTAACATATTACATTGCCTTGCACTATAAACATAGCTTATCAAGAGAATAAATTAACACCTGATGTGTTGTGCTGATGATGTCGTTCAGAAGAACGATGAAAGCTTCATGACCAAAACATCCAGCTCAGAGAACAAAACTCCATCCAAATTATCCACCTGAGCTACAAATCTTCTCCACCATCTCATAAATTATCATTAAGATAACTGACACAGTCAATGTTCAATATGAATTTTGAAATGAATTCCTCTACTAATAGTGACTTGAAATTAGATAAAGTAGTATGTATACTTACAAGTTTTGGTAACTTTGTATATTCTTTACAAAGGTTATTTACTTTCTTACAAATGCAACAACAGTTACACTGGTTTGATTACAAGTAAACGGAAATGCCAATCATAGAGAGAAGACTATTGGTATTGTTCATATGTCTTTGGGAAAAAGATAGTTTAAGTTCCTCATCATAATCATTGTTATCAGTATGGAGGTTCGAAGAGACTGCTGAATGATCTCGAGATTATGGACCAACCTAAGTTATTATTACTTTGAGTAATTCCTATACTGATAACTAAATACATATGTTTCAAAAGCAATTCGAACAGAATTAAAATCGAATTATTATAGAAGTTACCTAAAATGCCAAACCATGGTGACTGCATCAAATCAAAGCACATTATTAAGCATTCAATCGAGATGAAAGCAGAAAACTAGATGCAACTGATGAGAGTTAGGATTCATTACTTCTTTAAGGTTATGAACTGTATCTGACACAATGCAGGTGTATTCTCGAAGACAGTTAATTGTACGCTATAAACGCTCAGGAGAAGTTGCATTTGTATTGATGATAACTGTACCAGCAACATCTCAATACTTATCTTGTAAGACCACATAAAACCTTTCTTCAGATACTTAATTCGTGAACTCTCAAATGCCTTAAAAGTAAATGATATATATAACTGATTGCAAACTCCATGATCAGTGTGGCAATCTACATTGTGTATAACAAAATAATATAAGTTACAGTAAACTCAATCTGAAATATATAAGTCATTGATGTTTCGGAATTGATAACAACGAAGGTGAATATCAGTGAGAACTAAAACTATCCCTGATGATCTACGTGACTGAGTGTTAATAATGTTTAGTGGTCTCATTAATCATATGAATAAATAAGTAAAGCTGATACAGTTTTTGAGTTGACATAACTAAAATTATTTTTTAATCATAATTACAAATGAGCACCAATAACGTTGTTTGGTAAATTATAATTTATGGATGACCTTTGAGGAACGCTAAAGTGACCTTGAAAATGAGGGTTTTAATGCAGTGTGATGAATTAAGATTATAATTTTCAGTTGATGGTTAGGGTTAGGAATTAGATTTAGAGTTTTCACCACGAACTAACACAAGCTGAAATGCCAAAACTTTATTTAGCCAAATGGACGAATGAATTTCGCGCCAAAATAATGTTATCCTAAATCTGATTGTTTCGTTCATATATTACAGTCTCGCCAGTTATTTTTATCAAACTCATCATTCTTTAATATGGATAATTACAACCAATTATCAAATTTCACTGGTAAAAAAACTAACTTGTTTCTGTTTAATTCTTTCATTTGGTTTCGGTTGTATTCTATATGTATTCTCATATTTTATATTTTTATTAACTCCACCACGTAACATTCCGATAAGTGAACCATGTCCACCAAACAATGATCTACGTGATGCAAAACTAAAACGACTTTGTCGTCTTGACTGAGTAATAATTGATGGACGTCGACTATCTGTTTGTGATGTATCATGTGATCCTTTACGAGTTTTATCAGTGTCATCAATTGAATCAATTCTGGATAATTTTTCAGCAGACATTCTTTTAGATTTAGGTTAAATATTCATATACTACAGTAAATAATTTTTAACAAAAAAATAAAATAAACTTGTTAAGAGCACCAAATTCACAATGGTGTTAAACGAGATCGTGCATAATTTATATTGGAAGGAAATATTGGTTTAGTTAATCCCTACAAAATAAAGTATTTTCTTTTGTTAAAAGTGCTTTACTAATTTTGTGCATTTCATCTCTTACATACAATGTGAAAACAAGTAAATTCACTGACTAATTACTCAGGAGTAAATTGTAACATATTGTTTGGTATGGAATGATGATTGGATGCTGTATGTTAATCCCATGAAGTAGCCACTTGGTCAAGTGATTGGACATCATTTTGTTATGCAATTCTTATTTGGTCGTTAAAATCAATTGATAGGGCTTTTTGTGGACAATTAAGTGAGGACTTCATGTATCTGATTGTTATTATTCTGGGATTATTTCTTTTACGAAACAAAAATAAAGGAGGGTAATAGATCACACTGAGATC